CTGAACCCTGAGCCCTCAAGCCCAAACCCTAATCCCCATGAGCCTCACAGAAACCCTTACACAAACTTGAGGAGCCGGCAAAACCCCATAGTCCCTACAAGCCTTAAGCCCCCGGCTCAAAACCCAAAGCCCTCACAGAACCGCAAAACCCCAACCCTAAACCCTAAACCCTAAACCCTAAACCCAAAGCAGCCAGAGTCCAAATGCCCCGGCAGAAGGAGACTCGGACCGCCAGTGCTGCACAGCAGTCTGACTTCGAGGCATCTTGAGCGGCCTTTAGAGAAGGGTTACTGTAGGCTATAGGTTTAGGGTTTAGAGTTTAAGGGTTTAGGGCTTGGGGTTTAGAGTTTAGGGTTTTGGGGGCTCGGGGTTTGGGGTTTAGTGTGCCAGTGGTCGTGCTAAGGAGTTGAAGTTGGGTGCCTTGACGACACGCCAAACCCGAAGACACATGTCAGAGGATCAACTGTGCAAGCTGCGTGACGAGATCTCCGCCAGTGCCGCCAAGGAGCCGTTAGGTTCGGGTTTCAGGTTTCTAGAGGGGTTTAGGGTTTAGGGTTTGGGTTGTCTATAGGTCCTATGAAGGTTCTCTACACAGGTTCTGTCAGGCTTCCCTCAAGGTTTTAGGGTGAAGGGTTGTCGGGTTAAGTTTAGGCTGAAAGCTTGGGCTTGTAGAGCAAAGCTTTTCGGTTTACAGAATAAGCATGTTTGGGCGCTGTAGGGTTGTTAGGGTTAAGGGCCTTAGGGGTTTAGCATGTTGGTGGTTTAGGGGTTGGGGGGGGGGGGTTTAGGGCTGTTTCAATTTAGGGTACAACCCCCAGCCCCGAACCCCAACACCTCTTGGACGCCAGCCAACCCTGAACCTCAAACTCCATAATGTCCCCCCATACCTGACAGACCTGAAGCCCTAAACCCTAAACCCTAAACCCTCAACCGTAAACCTTAAACCCTAAACCCTAAACCTTAAACCCTAAACCCTAAACCCTAAACCCTAACTAAACCCTAAACCCTAAACCCTAAGCCGACCTGAAGCCCGAAACCCCGAGCTCCAAACTCTACGATGCCCTACGAGAGCAGGACCTGCGCTCCCAGACCGAGGCACCTTCACTTTTTTGGGGGATGGGGCGTACGGTAAGGCGACAAATGAGGTGGGTCTTCCACGGTTTAGGGTTTAGGGTTTAGGGGGGAAATAGCGGTTTAATAGGTTTTGGGCTTACAGGGCTTGGGTTTGGTTGGCTTAGTTGTTGTAGTTGTTGTTGTCGTTGTCGTCGGATCACAGAAAGCAGCGCAGCCGTGCTAAGCAGGCTCAAGGTGCAAATTCCAAAGGCTCGCCACAGGCTCCCGTCGCAAAGCGGAGGGGTTGTCCGATCGACTGAGCCATCTGAGAGCACTGGAGCCCATCGCCTCTGTAATGAATGCCTAAACCCTAAACCCTAAACCCTAAACCCTAAACCCTAAACCCTAAACCGTACAGAAGGAGGTAGGCGGTAGGATTTTCACTCGTCGGCGGGGTGAGAGGAGTAGCACGGGGTTTCTGCCTGGTGCTGCGAAACTAGCGGATCTGGACACCGCCCGAGCACCAGAATTCATGTCAGAGCATTCGCAAGAGAGCTCTTCGCAAAGCATGCAACAGGGTATTCCGCACACAGTCCAGCCAAGACTATCGCCAGGGCACGCTTACCCCTGAGTACTTGAGGCGCAGTGGACTGGAACCAAGTACCCCGCATTGGGATGACGAGTAGATTTACCCATACTTGAGTTAACTTACTAGTGGACTGACTGAGTCCGCCGATCCACAAAGAACCTTACAACCCGCCAAAGCCCCAAAACCCCAAAGCCTTAAACCCTCAACCCCTTATGCCCTAAACCATACCGGACTCCTCCAACATGCTTTCAGGCTTAGTTCGCCGATTACTCCCAAAGAAGCCCTAAACCATCCTAAGCCCTTTGAGCAGCCCATAATAGGAACCGATAGAAGGAACTACAACACATGTAACACTCGAATATAGAAGACTGAGTAATTCTTTTACTATTCCTAGGTACCTTATGCGAAGCCTAGTATGATCCACAAGGCCCCTATGTTATTTCTTTATGTAAAGCTATGTAAACTCTCAGCAAACTCAAACGCTGCTGATAACACCCTATTTACTTAGGTCACGGTCTCAAACCTATAACCTATATCATCACCCTCCCTTATAGACCCTTCTTATGAAGCTATTAAAAGGAACCACAGGAAACCTAATCGAAGTGTTCACGGCCCTATTAAATCAAACCCGAATTTAGAAAGAAACCCTCTTCTGATTATTGAGGCCGTGTATCGCTTAGTTAGGTCACGTCTCCCTAAACAGACACCTTATACCCCCAACCCTCTAAACCTCCTAACTGCTTGGTTGACATCACGTCTTAGCAGGCCATGGCCGACCTCCAGCGACGCCATCGGCTGGATGTGGACTCCGTGCAGGACCGGACTCCTAGGGATGAGGGGTTGCTTCTTTGGGGTTTTGCAGGGCTTCTATGGGGTGATGTAGGGCTTTAGTTATAGGGATCCTACAGGCTTGTGCAGGTTTTTTTCTTTGGTTTTTCGGTTGCTTTGGTGATGGGGCTCGGTTCTTCGGGAGTTTCGGGCTTCAGAAACGGCTGCCCTTGGGCCCAAGTTTGTGCAAACGTAGCTTTTTTTTTTTTTTTGTTGGTGGTTGTCTTTTGGCAAATGCCCGATAGTTGTTTACCTGTTGGTATTTGCGTGCGTTTTGCATGGTGTTATCATTCGTTCTTATGATAGCATTCAAGCATTCATTGAGTTGCTGTAGGTAGTAGGGTTTACTTGTATCAGCTTGACATTCTGTTCACTATCACTATATGTTGCTCATTCACGGGGTCGTGGATTATAGCAAAAGCGAAGTGTCTGGAGTTGGGTTTGGTGGTGGTGGTGGTGGAGTTTGTTGGGAAAGTCGCCTCCGGTCCCCCCCCCCCCCCCCCCCNNNNTTAGGGTTTAGGGTTGAGGGCTCAGGACCCAATTCCACGCGCTTTGCCCTTGCCACGACATCTACGCTGCATCGAAGGCTATTGCGAGTTTCTGTAGCATATCACGCGACCTGGTTTGCAAAACTCACAGTTTACAGGCTCTCAACCCCAGACTATGTAACCCAAATACACATTGCAGCACAAGCACACGAATCACTGCACGTGTTTTTGGTACCACAAAGCGAAGCCCCTATTCTCCAATCCGAACATGCGTGATCTGAACCCACAGCTGCCTGACGGGTCCATGTGGCCCCCTAGTATATATATATATA